TAAAATTCAAAGTTAGGGTTTTGATTTCTCTGACATTTTTTATTTAAAAAATTATTCATTTACTATATATCTTGAACAAAACTATGTAAATTCTGAATAATGTGACATCTGAACATTTACTAATAAACAAGTCCTTTGTGAAATGAAATATTATTATTTCAGAAATAATAATAATAAGAATATTATATGAAACAATTAACAATCAAGAAATTATTTAGATATTAGAAAAACCACATAATGATAACGGTAAGTACGATATGACGCTAATCTGTCACATGGGAAATAACTAATGTCATGTGATGTATTGTTGATCATTTTTACATTCTGATTTGAGGATTGTACTATGGATCTCACATATAAAATAAATAAATTTCTCATTTTGAGATCACTTTTTTTTTAATTGAACTACCATAGGTGACAATGTTGAAGAAAACAAAAGCAAAAAACAAATAGATCTTTTTAAGGCCCGAATAGCTAGAGAATCACCTTTAATTTTACCATCACATACTCTAATTACTCCTGCTATTACAAATGAAGAAACTGCTAAAAAATAAATTATCGAAAAGAAATGGACAAAATTTTTTAAAGATTTGTATTTAAAAAAAAAACAATCACAGACCGATATAGATTGGGAAGAATTTTCAAGTAGACTTGATCATTCAATTATAATAAATTACCAAATTAAAAATTTAGAATATGAAAACAATAAAAAAAAAGTAGCTGATAGATTAATTAAAGCATCTATTCTGAATTTTAGCAACAATGAATTTACATGCAAGAAAAAGTTTCATAAAGCAATAGTATTATTGATAGAAAGTGCAGAAAAAAAAACGTACCATTAGATTTTTGTTAGCAGCAACTAATTGGTTTAGATTTCACAGTTAATTCTTTTAGCAAGGGCAATGAACAAGAAAATCATTCTGTTATCAATTTATTTGTTGAAAAATGTACTGAGAAATACAAATATAAGTAACAATAAGTAGTTGTCTTTGTATTTTGCAGAAGGTATACTAATTGTAAATATTTGATATCTATTTAGCTCAATTCGGTCTATGAATATTAGTTTTTCTATGCATTAAAATAATACTAGTTAAGATAGTTTTAATTATGCTTTGTTATGCTGTAAATTTTTAATTTTTTAATATTATTAAGTCATTTCTAAGTTTGAAAGTAGCATATTAAATTCTTACCTGAGTTATATAAAAATAAGTGTATTCTTAGAAAGGCAGGAAACGCTATAAATTTTTTTTAATCTTATAAAATAAAATTATCCTGCATCACTCAAATGTGAGGTTAATCTCAGGCAAACTAATAGTTCAAAAATTTTATTAACAATCTTGATCTAAACAATATATGTTCTTAGTTACTACAAGTATATTTTATGTTTAATTTTTTGTTAAGATATTAAACGAACTGGCTTTAAGTTCAATTTTGGCCAACATTAATATGAAAAGCTCAAATATGAGTGGTAATTTTAGTCGGTAAATCAAATTTCATATAAACTATACCTGCTTTACAGAAATTACAAATCATATGTAAAATTACTATAATTTTTACATTTCTATTTTGCATCATATAATTTATTTGTAAGATTTTACAGACGGCTAATTATGTATTACAACATTCTTTAACTTGATTTCTTAACTTGTATTTTTTTTTAGATTTACACACAGACAGTTATTTATGTACCACAACATTCTTTACTGGATTTTACACACAGCTTATCATGTATTACAACATTGGTTCTTTGTATGATTTTACAGATAGCTAATTATGTATCACAATATTCTTAAACTTGATTTCTTAACTTGTATTTTTTTTTAGATTTACACATGGTTATTTATGTATTACAACATTATTAACTTTGTATGATTAGATTTTACACATGGCTTATCATGTATTACAATATTAGTTCTTTAACTTGATTTCTTTGTATTATTTTACAGACTAATAGTGTTCAAGATATCTTTTAAAATATTTGTTCCTTACATTAATCACATGAAAATCATAAATCCCGATTTTCTCAAAATCTCATAATTGTCCCAATACTGTATTACAATATTAACTTGATTTCTTAACTTGTATTTTTTTTTAGATTTACACACAGTTATTTATGTATCACAAAATTCTTAACTTTGTATAATTAGATTTTACACATGGCTTATCATGTATTACAATATTGGTTCTTTGTATGATTTTACAGATGGCTAATTATGTATCACAACATTCTTTAACTTGATTTCTTAACTTGTATTTTTTTTTATATTTACACACGGTTATTTATGTATCACAATATTATTAACTTTGTATGATTGGATCTTATGCACAGCTTATCATGTATTACAACATTATTTCTTTAACTTGTATTATACTTGATTTCTTTGTATGATTTTACAGACTAATAGTGTTTAAGATATCTTTTAAAATATTTGTTCCTTACATTAATCACATAAAAATTATAAATTATGATTTTCTCAAAATCTCATAATTGTCCCAATGCTGTATTACAACATTAACTCGATTTCTTAACTTGTATTTTTTTTTAAATTTACACATGGTTATTTATGTATTACAAAATTCTTAACTTTGCATAATTGGATTTTACACACAGCTTATCATGTATTACAACATTGGTTTCTTTGTATGATTTTACAGACGGCTAATTATGTACCACAGCATTCTTTAACTTGATTTCTTGTATTTTTTTTATGTATCACAAAATTCTTAACTTTGTATAATTGGATTTTACACATAGCTTATCATGTATTACAACATTGGTTTCTTTTTATGATTTTACAGATAGCTAATTATGTATCACAGCATTCTTTAACTTGATTTCTTAACTTGTATTTTTTTTTAGATTTACACACGGTTATTT